GAGTATTTACATTCCGCGAGATGTGTATATAACGCGCGCGAGCACACACGCGTCGTAGGCGCATCGTATTATCGCGCGTCTCCTTGAGACACTGTTACGTAGCTTATTTAACCTGTTAACCGGGGGGTGGCGACGAGTTAACGCGTCGCGACGCTCGCGTCCGACCTCGAGGGAATCGCTGTGAGCAAAATATCGTTCGCCGTTCATACGAAAATCGTGTGTCGACCCTTCGCGCTCGAAAGATCGTAGAACTATTCGACGTTTCCTTACTAGACACGAGCATTTTGTCAAATTCGAAAGCCAAAGGAAGCCATTTTGTTTCAACGTTTGGTACGTCACGCAATCTTTAGCACTAAAGCTACCGGGTAGTTAGATAGACTTTCCGAATTCCTCTATAGAAACTTGAGTTGATTTACAATTCCGTTTGCTAAATCAATTTCTTTAATCACTTCTCGAAGGAATATTTGTTTTCTTAATAATTGCAAACTAGGGAATCAGGAATGAGACATTTTGACTGATAGCTTCAGTGTTATGAAATATAGAACTTGATAATTTCACTGCATCCAATCGAGTAAGTCTCCTCTCGAGCGCGAAGGGTTAAATCTTGCTCGATAGGAACGGACGGTTGGTCGATTGAATGGGAACTCGTATTAAGGAGTTGCTTAAGTAACCGTTTAGTCGGTATTGGAGATATTGCCAAAATTGCCCGTGCAAATCAATGATTCATACGAGGATGGAACCGTCTGGTATGAATAACGAATGCGATCGTTGCCGGAATAACGCGTTCGAACAACGATGATTTGTTCGGCTAATTGTATTGAATATTTACCGGCATACCGGCCGACGAGGGGATATAAAGAATTAAGGGAAGTGAATAAAATTAGACCGGAAACAATCGACGAAAAGTCGGACGCGCGCGCCGGCGACGACGTGAAAACGAAACGGAACGGGGAGGGATTTTGGGGAAACTAGGCCGGCCACGGGACGTGCAAACCCAATACACACTTCTTCTTCCACGAACGCGGTAGACAATAAACGAGTCGCTTTAACGCGAACTTCAGACCCGGCCCGACCAATATCAGGATTTACACTCGACCTGTTCGATCGCGACACTTCAATTTCGTCGACTAAGGCGGAGGATATTTAGTTTCTAGACCGAGACCACACACACACACACACTCGTACACACGGAGACACACACGCGGACACACTCGTAACGGATAACGCTGACTGCGACGCCGAACAACGTTCGGGGAGCGGGTCCGCGACAAAGGGACCCCGCCATTGTTCACAATATTTGTAAATCGTGTTGTCAACCGCCTCGAAAGTCGATTAACCCTTCTAGGACGACGCCTATATAAGACAACTATGCTAAAACAGCTTCCAATGGATTGCATTCATTTTTTTTACACTACACGATCATGATTTTCTGCTGTTTTCTAAGATCATCCCTTTGTAGTCGAAAGTTTTGTGCTAGATATACTCAGCGTTTTCGATTAGATATAGACGTTCTTTCGATCTAAATATTGGAAAAACGTAAACTAAGGAATAAAGCTATTGCATTTGAATATTTTATGTGATGCATTTTACAATGTTTAGTGTTATATATAATTCTTTATAATTTTGATATGTCAGATCAGGTGACAGAGTTATCTTTCAAGTGCAAAGGATTAACCCTGTGCGGACGAAGATTCTTTGAAATAGACAAAATATTCAGATGAAGCTAAATTATATATCAATTACTTAAACGATAGGAAAAACAGAAACGTGCTGATCTCCTGATGTTTGAGTAATTAAATTATATGTTTATAACTTAATCTTCGGAACATGAAAACTTCATCTCGAAATGTTGACATTCGTCCGCAAAGGGTTAAAGGTAGACAAATTAGGTTTGATAGATTGTATTATATCTGTGGCACGGGAAGAATTATGAGAACTGAAACTGGAAATTGGATGTTGTCCTTGTAGGGTTAAGTTCACCGAAATTGCATTGAAACAGGCGAGTGTCCTTAACACTGGAACTACCCAGCATTCAAGGCGACTTTCTTGAATTTTTCTACAGAAACTACAACAGCGTGTGCATCTTCGAGACTTTGAGTCACTTAAGGTTTGCGTATTTCGTTTCCGAATTCGGTTCGCGTATTTCTAAATGAGTTCCTTCGGTAATTCCTCGGGAAGACACCTGTTATCTTCTTAATCGTTCTAAAAGAATTCAGAAATAGGTCGTTTCAATTCGGTAGTTCCAGTGTTAATATATTCCACGGATATCACGCAGAGAACTATCACCGATAGAACAGCAACAGATGATTAACACTAGGTTCACGGGCATTTATTGTACACTTCATTCTATTATTCCTAAAAGAATCGATGCTCGTTTATTTAGATTGTGGAAACTGGAGATTCGACAGTAGGTAATTGGGGTACATGTCAGTGTGATCGCATCAATAAAAATCGGCGTGAATATTTACAAAATATTTCTAAAATCCAGTATGCGTCAATTCGACGCGTTCCGTAAATCTAGTGTTAAAAATCTGCGATTGAAATTCCCGGCGTTCACCGGCGATCGTCTCGGTGTTTTACCTGAGTTTTAGAAGCGTTTCGGAATCGATGCGAGTGACCGTTATGTAATATGTCCACGTAACTTCATGCTCGAGGCCGTGTAATCTTCGAGGACTGCGTGCGAGACGTATCTCGGACCGCGCGTACGAATGGCGGAGGACGATCGCAGGACTCGCGGATAACACGCTCTCGGGAGCGAGAACGGGCGAGCCTTGAAGCGACGAGCGGGGGGGGATAGGGACGTGTACACGTGAACGGTGAACCGGAAGCATCGTACAAAAGGTAACTTTGTATCTTTTATTATAACACTGACAGTGTTGAAATAGATTTGCCCCGTCGAAAACTCCGCCGACTTTTTCGCCGACCTAACCCAGATCTAACCGAGACTCTCCTGTCCCGCATCATCCACGCGAGAAGAAAAACGTAGGGAATTAATTAACCCGTTGCACTAGTTTGACGAGCCTCGCTCGTGGTCACAAATTTTCGACCGAACATGAATGTCTCGAGTGAGACTCGAGGTCACAACGCGAGTGAGATGCCTGCAATAATCATGCCCTGGATTTTTCCCGACGAAATTGCACCTTAGCGAGTTAAACCCTTTGTCCTATGGTTTAGTCCTCGAATATGATGGACATAGATACTTCGTCATTAATGATTTACTGAAAAAGAGGAAGATTCTGAGTGTACACTATGTCAGTGTTCGCTGCAAAGTATAATTGATAACAGAAGAGTAATAAGGTAGAAGCATGAATAGTTGACCAGTTAAGACATATTTTCTGCGTGAATAATAATTCTTCTTACATTTAGTAAGAAAGCGAAGTTTTTTGAAATAGTTATATTGCCGAAATTTTGTAGACATTTTTGAACATTCGATTCTTGCGTCGGAAGTTGAGCATTCTTTGAAACGAGAGAACCAGTAATTAACCACATGTTGGTTAGCAGTTGACATTTCATAGTAAAAGGACAATTACAGAAGTTAATTATGTTGGAAATTGGAGGCACACAACCAACGTCAACGAAGTAAACTGTTAGTTTCTACGACGAACAATTTAATCCAGATAAAAGTGTTTCGGAGTTGGATCGGCAGATGCTGGAGCACATCGTTTATCGAAAGATTATAACTTTTATATACCTCATTCTTTGTTTCCCTGAAAAATGGTCAGCTATTGGTACCAGGTCAATTACTGGCTTTACTTTACTCAATTCGAATTCAGGAGAATTGAGTGACATTTGTGCCCGTCGAATTCCGTTTAAAACTTTCACTGTACGTCTGACGGGTTGTCGTAAGGCTCGACCATTTCCTGTCACGAATCCGCGAGGCATCGAGAATATCCTTCGCCGACTAAAATATTAACGCTCCGATTAAACATACGATCCCTCCCCTCCCATCCTTCAGATGCGTATGAAAAATTAACGAGCCCGATACCCGGAGCCCGCAACGCGCAAAGAAACAAGATGGCGGCCGGACCGGAGGCCGCGGACCTCGAATCGGGAAAGAGGACGAAAGGTCGAGGAATCGATCGCGCGGACCGTCGCTTAATAATTATTCCTGCACCCGCGAGAATGTATAAGCGCGACGTTGCATTATTTACTGAGCGTCTAATATTAAATATTGAAAATGTTTTGAGCCGCCAGTTTTTACGATTCAGACCGAGATTGCGGCTGAGGTTTCTAGGAAAGGTCAAGCGAAAGCTGCTGAACATTTTTAACTCGTTGCCCTGTAATTGCTGTTGCAGCTGTGTTGAATAAAAATACGTCAACATTGACGATTTGTCGGAAGAGAAAAGTCTATCGTAAGTCTCAACGTTCGTACCGGAAATTTTTGTTATAGGAACGCGATACGATCGTTCGATCTAAAAACATGAATTTCTTTTGAAAAACTTTGCTTTCGATATCCTGAAAGTGTCTTCTCTCGAATCGCAGAGAATTTTACGAAGCGTGCTCGAGATGGACATGTATATCTTATTTAAGCGAGTAGTTTATCGTTGGCCCGCGTACGCGTGCGGGAACGATTAAGCCGAGATTTAAATGCGACACGCCTCGTTCGCCTAGTAATTACAATTTTAAAACCTCGAGAGTCCGCTCGCCGCGGAGGCCTGGTAAATCAGTAAATTCCGTTGCGTGGAGCACGTAACCGTCGTGGACGAAAGAAAACGCGATTAAACGGTGCACGCCGGCCATTCCGAATCAGCTGACAAATAAATTAACACAGTCGCGACGGATAGAAACTGTTGTTACCAACAGCGAGTCCCACGGTTGCCTTGGGAACTAGAGTATTATCTTGTGACCCGCAGTTCATCTTCAGAACTACAGTATTATTTTAAGAACTGCATTACTTACAAGGCTATAGAATATCCATAGGCCTTATAGTATCGTCATCGAAGTTATAGTGTCATCTTGGAATCTACTGTATTGCCTCGAGAATTACATTAATTTAGGAACCATACTATTACTTGAAAACTTATAGTAGCCTTTGAAGTTATAGTATCACCTCGAAACCTACTATATTGCCTGGAGAATCAAATGATTACCTTGGAAACTACGTCGCCTTGGAACTTCCACTAATCGCCTGAGAACCCACGCATCGTCATCGAATTTATAGTCTCATCTTGGAACCTACTTATTGCCTTGAGAATTACATTGCTTCAGGAACCATGCTATTACTTGAAAACTTATAGTAGCCTTTGAAGTTATAGTATCACCTCGAAACCTACTATATTGCCTGGAGAATCATATGATCGCCTTGGGAACTACATCGCCTTGGAACTTCCAGTAACGCCTGAGAACCCATCGCTTATGGAACTACAGTATCACCTAAGAACCTACAGTGTATACCAATTTGAATACTACACTTGAGACAATAAAAATCTTTTCTATCAGAACATTCTCTATGAAATTTCCTCTATCAAAGCACAGCCCCGTCCGTCCATCCCGAGTGCGTTAAATCCGCCAACTCCGTTGCAGGACCGCTCGCCGCGAAATTGCAGCAAGGAGGACGGTCGGCCGCGTCCACGGCGCGGCGCGGAAAATCCGAAACGCCCCGGGGGGACGATTACCAACGAAATCGCGGCGTTACATAATTTCCCGATTCGGCACGGGCCGATGACAAAATCCATACACGGGTGTCCGATGACGCAAGCGTCACATTTGCTCCATGACTTATGGAACTGTAACCCGATTTTAGCGGCCGATAAATTAGCAGCGCGACGAGAATCAAATTATCCGTAGCAGCTTTCGGCTCCACGTCCCGGATAACCGATTGCATCCGCCGGCCCCGGTTTTAATATCCTCAAAGATAACGTACAGCCGCGCCGAGACCGGATAACGCGCGCTCGGTCCCGGTAATAGAAAAATCGTTAGCGAACAACGGAACGCGTGGCCGTAATTGGTTCGCGATTTACCGAACGCCCGTTAGAATATCCGGGTCCGTGGCGGTTCGATTAATTTAAATGCACCGGACCGGCGACGTGCTCCTTATTCAAGCTTTACTTTTGGCACCTGCGCCGACGCCGTTGCCAGAATCCACACCATTGCGGGTAAGTAAGTAGATTAAAGTGAGTTGCGGTCAGTTAATTAATGCAGCCCGTAAACCGTATGATCCGCTGACTTATCGATGCCGATAAGAATATTTGCGACTCGGCGAACATCGGCGGAACGAACGCGCGCGATGAAATAACGCGATTCGATCGTTCGAAATATTTCACCGTTATACTCTTCCCCATCCGCGTGCGACGCATCCTCGTTACCCGCGGAGCAGGTTATTTACGATCTCAGCCCGGTTAATTGTAATTGCGGGATAAATTTTCAAAGTGTCCCCCTCGATTTTCCGCGCTGAAAGGAAGGCCGTGTCGCGTCCGCGATTTATTTTCGCGCGAGGAACCGACGCACACGTGTCCGCCCCATTGCCGCCCCGTGCACACACGCGCAGCGACCATTGTGCGGCGTCGGTTTTGCATTTGAGCGTGTCTTATTACCGGACGACCCATATAAGAATATTCATGACCCGTATTCGGAGCGGAGGCCAATTTTCGCGGAGGACGCGCGGGCTTAAAAAAACGAGAAATCTTTCTATAGCCAGGCGGAATTGGTTGACACGGCTGGTATGCCGTTCCGTACGGCGAACAGCGACACGCGGTTACCGTCGTTCCTCGAGCATTTACATTTAACAATAATCGTTATCCGCCGGCCAGCTTTCCGATTTCCATGGAAATTCGATGTGCATTAGATTTAAATATAATTAAATCTCGCGTCGCGCGTACAGGTCGACTCAAGAATCCCGTCGCCCGAAATACCGAGTCGTCGGGTTTGGGGCAAAATGGTGGACGAACGAAATGTTACCAGTTTCTAGCTCTGATCTTTGGTTTCGATGTACATAAAAGTCACCTTGTCTTCCAGTGATTGTAATAAAGCTTAGTTATCTTAATCCTCCTTTCGGTTTCAAAAACCACCGACACTGTTAAAAAGATCAAGAAGTCCTTAACAGCCGAAGCTTTTAATCTCCGTAAGAATACAGATTAAACAGAAGGTGAACAAGTATTATCCACCGGTTGTCCACTATCTCGATCCCTCACGAGTCGTAATCCAAATCTCAGCGGATGAAGGAGGCGATAACGGTAAACCCTCGCCATAAACGTTAACGACGGATCGCAATCTCGAAATTCAAATTCCGTGAACTCGGATTCTCGTACAGAGACCATGCGTCGATCTTTCACGGGCGCTTGTTATCGTGCTCTCTGACGCCGGCTGTTTTGAAAGAGCACAACACGTTACGCAACAGGCCATGCGCGCGAATGCGTGCAGCCAGCGATATCAGGGAACGCTGGCGATAAGAACAGTCACTCTGGAGGCCGAAAGTTGTCGGGGAGAGTCCGACGATCGTAATCTCCGGTTCTTTTACACGGCTGTGACGTTTCTTCGAGTGAGAACGATCGGGTGCGAGTGAACTGGTCACCGAGGTTCTCCATCATGGCTCTAGCTTGGCGGATCACGGCCATCGCTCGTCTGGTAAGGCAACGGCGACAGGGGAACCGTCTCTTTCCGGGGAAATGGCGGCCCCGTGTCGCGTGGAAATTCCGGGGAACATCGATCGTACGATCTCGGTTCGGCTCGGGCGCACTCGGTCCTCTGTTTGCACAACGTTTGAACTATAACAATGTGAGCCCTCTCTCGGAGATCCGTGGACGTTTTCCGGTGGATCGCAAGTGTTTCGTTAAGTACACGGGCTTTCATCGTTCGCCACGTTCCTCTCTCATTGTCCGTCACGTTTGAAAGAACTGAAGGACCTTCATAAATGATTCGCTGCACGTCAGCCGTCGACGCGACGACGGAAGTCCCGCTAATGACGATGAATTAACTGGCGTGACGAAGCAATATCAAACCGAGCAATTAGCAAACCAAAGCGAATATTAAATATATCTGTACAGCTACAGTAGGATTATTTATAAATTCCCTTGGCATTGAAGTGCATTGCATTCGTTGTTTCTCCAACCGAACAGAGAAACCAAGAGCAGGATCTTGCAGGGGAGCTAAAATATATTACCAATCTAATCTACGAAACTTCAAAAAGGAAACCCTACACTCTAGAAACCGGCGCGAACGTTGTGCTCCGTCGTAAGTGTCCGAAATCGTCGTGACGAGGCCACCGTCCACGTTCCGTTTATATAGAGCTTGTTTAAGCTTTCCACCGGCGTCCGCAAGGGACACACCGGCCGCTCTTAGGACACCGCTCCATTTTGCGGTCCTAGTCGAATTACACGTCGGGGCGCTGCCGGTGAAGTGATAAACACGCGGGGCGCGACGCGGAAATGAAATTAACGCGCGCGCCGATCAAAGCGTCGCCGGAAACACCTAACGTTTTCCGTTCGACGGAAAAGAGATCGGATCGGGAGAATTGCACGGGTTTCGAACGCAACCGGCCGCCCGTCGCGCCCACCCCCGCGCCGACCGTCCACACACATCGATCCCATCGAATCTATTCCGAGTAGAACCAATATCCGGTCGAATATTAGTTATCGCACCCGCGTTAACAGTTTCAAAGTTTCGGTACAGATGGGATTGCTGACGGCGGCATTTGTATCGTTGGGCGTGGAGCAGGAGGCACGTGGCCAGGAAACCTTTCTGTTTAGCAATTCCGCGCCCTTCGGTTATTAGTTTGTCCGCGAAGTACGCTAATAGCTACTTCGCCTACTATGTACCGTCAGTTGCTAGGAACCTGGCACTCGTGACGTTATGGGGGCAGACACAGTCGCTCCGAGAGATCCAATCGTGAATCCGGAAACGCACTTCGCGCTCTTTGTCGCGATTGGTGCACGACGCCTCAACCAATCACGTATCAGAATCGAAACGCGAGGAAGGCGTGCGCTTTCGAATCTGACCACTTAGACGAGTGTGTCAAGTTTGCTGCAACGAACGGTATTTTAGTGGAGATGAGAGTTTGTTCGTGAGTGAAAGATTATTCGAAATTAGTGAATTCGATGGGGTATTTAGATACGGAGTTGGAATATGTTTATTTTCGGTGATTAATGTTGAAGGTAATTGATGAGTCGAGGTATTTGATATGTTTGCAGTGTACAGAGGTTCTTAGAGTTGATGGAAAGCAGGGGTGATGGTTTTCAACGTAGCCTCGGTTTACTTTTAATTTATTCAAATTTCATGCGAGGAATTTAATCATATTATTAGCTTCTTCGGCAGGTAAGTTCGAATGCAAATCAGCCGGGCACCATGTGGATTACGATTTGCATTTAAAACGTTCGAATAAATACAGGGCAAGGAACTGAAAAACAGAACCGGCGCGACGTGATGATAACGATTTCACGGTTCGCGTGATCTCGAAAAGGACAGTCGAGACAATTAACCGTGATTGGACATTGATTGCCGCGTAATAACGCGATCTGTTCGCTAGCTAATTTCGGCATTCATGTAGACGATATATATATTATAATTATACCGTACGCGGATGACGTACGGATCGCGACGTTTCGATTTAGAATGTAATCGTTGTAAAATACGATCAATTTTGTAATTGTTTAATGGCTCGCCGGTGGCAGCGATTCAATTACCGGATCCATTAAGATTAGCGGCCGTCCGAAGCTTGAGAACAAATCGCCGGTAATCGATCGATTTAATTAAGGAATCGGATTATAATTATCCAAGATCCTCTCGAAGTACTTTAAAGTCGTCTTCGCTAATGATCGCGGTGAAATGATTATTTATGACACCCCTCTACTTCCTTCTATCGCGCCCATTATTCTCGGGCAGCTCGCTTTCTAATCGTATTGAATAGTTTACTTTAATAGTATATATTTATAATTTACGAGCACATTTCGGTTCGATTAGACCAGCGTTTAAAACCGCATTCGGAGCCGATCGAATGTCCATAATGAAATATACAATTACACCGACCAGCAATGGGGATCTCGTTTTTATTGCCCGATGTTTTATTACCGGTGTGCACATAATAAAATCCATGTTTATTTAGGGTAGGAACGTACGCGATCAAAAATGTCGGTTTCTCCACGTAAGCTGCTTTCGATGCGGAACCGTCGTCCCCTTCAAACTATCGGATATCGGAGAAGGAATTCGAGACGTCACGATCAAAGAATGGTGAGCAAAACAATGAATACGCCGTTAAACGTCCTAGCCTCGTAATTATGGAACATTCGTTCGCGCCGAATGACTGTCGTCATTTAAAGAAATAGTCTCTTACGGCTGACCAAGATGGAGTCACTTCCGGTTGATAGCTTCGAATGCCTCGAAATATCGACGCAGAGTGTTCCTCATATTTTTCATATTTTCCATGTGGTAAATTTCGTTGATTCAAATTCATTAAATGTCGAGGAATTAAACGACCACGGTAAAAGGGGTTTTCTTTCATTCGAAAAACTCCATTTAGAGAGTCCATTGAAACCGTAAAACTATCTGGGATGCGACAAATATATTACTGTTCTTACAAGACGCGTAGGGCGCTCCCGACTTAATTAAAAGGTGGAAAATATGTGGAGTTCCGGACACAGTAGAATCCCTCGCGTCTGAATCGTTAGGAGGAGAAAAATTCGTATTAACAAATTTTTGAAATTCTCACTTTCGTTCAGCTTCTCGATTATACAAACAAGTCTTCGTGAACACAGATAATTGCCGACAACAACGTAGACCATTGAAGTTCCAGATCGAAGCAATCCCTAATATTTAGAAACCCTTCAATGCAACAACGACAGCCGAAACAACAACAGCCGAAGCACGATTCGCCAATTCCATAACAATCCATCACCATTATATCCCTCGCGTAACAGGAGACTCGACGGAGCGCGTGACAAATGATCCGTTCGCCTGGCGAAACTATCCGCGAGACGAAAGCTGCGAAATCTCGATGAGACTGCATGCATAAAGATCCAATTAAAAGTCGTAGCGCCGACACTTCGTGACACCCAAACCCGCCGGCGTTGGTCGCTTGAATCCTTGAATCGGTTGAACAGCGGACAAAGCCGGCGACAGTTCGTATCATTGCCGATGCAATCGCATCCCCCTAACTTTTCAGTAATCGCGAGCGAGCGGGGCGTCCCGTTGTCAGCCCGAATGCACCGCGAAGACGACCGTGCCGTATACACGACGCGAATTTGAATGCACACAGGTTCGTGAAGCCGGGCGACCGGGTGTCTCAATTCGATAACATTTGCGAGGTGCAGAGCGACAAAGCGTCCGTGACGATTACCAGCCGTTACGACGGATTAATCAAGGCCCTGCGCTACAAGGTGGACGACGTGGCGCTGATAGGGGACGCGCTGCTGGATATCGAGGTGGACGACGATAACGAGCAGGCGGTCGAAGGGAAACCGAAACCGAGCCCGGTCCCGGGGGCTCCGAACAGGAGCGGCCCCGCGGGGGTGGACGGGGCCGGCGCGGCGTGGGGCCAGTTAAACGGGCTAAAAAAATCGCTGGCTACTCCCGCGGTCAGGCGGATCGCCGTGGAGAACGGAATCGAGTTAAAGGACGTCGTCCCCACGGGCAAAGGCAGCCGGGTACTTAAAGAGGATATATTGGCGCACTTGGAGAGAGTTTCTGCTGGTTCCGCGGGAAACCCCGCCGCGGGAACGCCGGCGGACGGGGAGCTGGTGCCGATAAAGGGCTACACGAAGCAGATGTGGAAAACGATGACTCGATCTCTGGTGAGTGGGAGCCGCGTGACGGGCGATCATAAGCGAGATACTTTTCGTACGGGTCCTCATCTTCTCCTTTGTTATTTCTGTTGCTTCTAACGATATTAGAGGCGTCGACTTCTGTATCGAACGAACGGCTTCCGGGTTGATTAGGGTAACGGTGAAAACTGTCGCGAGCACGTGGCGCGTTTAATGAAAAACAGCAACGCGCCCCGTCGCGGTATTAATAAACCGCGGGGCTGGGTATAAAATGCAGGCCACGCGTGAATTGCTAGATTAGCAGAATTTCGCCTATCGCGTCCCACGTGGCCGCGGCCGCTGAATAAACGGCCGGTTAATCGTTGTAAAACAATGCGCGGCGAGGCGCGGGTTAATGACGCGACCGAACGAGCCGCCGCCGCGATTAAACGACCGTGACGCGAAGTGTTTCAGCGGCTGCGAGCAGGAAATGGAAACGAAACGGCCGCGGAAAAAGGAAAACCGGCGGGACGACGGGGGAGGGGGACGAAAGAGGATCGACGGGATCGGGATTTAATATCGAAGATTTTTCCCGGGGCGAGTTCTCGCGACGGGCAACACCGCCGGAAGTCGCGGCAAGCCGATAATGGCGTACGGCCGTACTCTGTACCCGACGTTGACACCGATCGATTTGAATTTCCGCGTCAACATTGACGGAATCCAGACGTGATTGAAGCGTTTTAAATGATACCGTGCGTTACTTTTAACGTCCAAATATGCTGCGTATTTTCCCTCGTTAATTGCATGTCGCGCGCGCCGTGCAAACGTTCCGTCGCGAGCCGACCCCGCCGGGAATAATCTATAAGCTGCAGCAGAAATTATGGACACGGGTTTCGCCGGTGAATCTGTATCTCTGGATTGAGTATCATTACGCCGACTTTGTTGCGCGATAATTGAACGTTGTCAATCGGAGGGCAGAAAGTTAGAAGGAAATACAGGATTGAAGGGAGTCGTGGTTTTTAAGTGACCTTCGGTAAACGCTGGGAATGGCCTTTAACAACGCAGACATCTTCCGCGGGCGACACGTCGACGTCGTAAACAAGCCAAGAATGGCTTTCAGTGGAAAAAAGTCTAAGAAACCTCGAGCCACTTAGAATCCCCGAGGGAAGTTCTATATGAATAACCCAAAATCTCGATCGAATTTCGGTCGCGCGGATCCACCCCCGAAACCACCCGCCCGTCACGCTTTTTCCGTCCTGTACCCGGGACGAACTGTTTGCAGAGTATACCGCACTTCGTGTACAGCGACGAGTGCACCGTCGATAAATTAATGGAGTGCCGAAGCCAAGTGAAGGACAGTTTGAAAGAACGGGGCGTCGCTTTGAGCATGATGCCCTTTTTCATCAAGGCAGCGTCCAAGGCGTTAGAGGGTGTGCCGCGGTTGAACGCTTGGCAGGACGAGGGTAGTCAAGCGATACGTGTTCTGAAGAGCCACAACATCGGCATCGCCATGGACACGCCGGAAGGCTTGATCGTGCCGAATATCAAGAACGTTCAACGTTTGAGCCTCGTGGAAGTCGCGAGGGAGCTGAACAGACTCCAAGAACTGGGCAGGAAGTCCTCGATACCGCCGAACGATCTGGCCAACACCACTTTCACGCTTTCCAACATCGGCGTGGTAAGTGATTTTCCGCGGTAACCTTCTCTCCCCGCCCCATTTTTATCGGGTTAAGCGATCTCGATCGGTTGAACGGTCAAATTGAATCTCGAGACCGCTTTAAATTTAATTCGACCCGTTGACGGAGAAAATATTTGCGTTCCCGGCCCGTGTATATACACATCCTTTCCATCCGCACAGGTATACAGCGCAGCGTTGCGCGAGATCCCGTCCACTCCCGCCGAACACAATTACGTAATTCGTTAATTTCGTTCGCGATTCCCCCGACACTCGATATTCGAATCAAATTAATCGGGGGAAAAAATGCTGCTTGCCGCGCGGAAATGAATGGGAGCCCAAGCTTTAATTGACCGGCCGCGATGGTGTTTCGCAGTCCCACGATTCTTGGTTGAAACGAGCGAAACGATGCTGCGCGAATCATATTTTACCGTTATTAATATTCTAGGGAAATGTTATTGATTCTAGAAAAACGTTTTAATATTCTGGAAGATTGAATAATGTATTTGTAATGTAAGTGATGAGTTATTCCCAATTCATCGGTATTAATTCGCTGATAATGTTCCATCGGTAGATCGTTCGAATTTGTCTTGAAACGCTGTTTTCGCAGATCGGCGGTACGTACACGAAGCCGGTGATTTTGCCACCCCAAATCGTAATCGGTGCGTTCGGGAAAGTGCAGAAGCTACCGCGATTTGACGAAGAAGGACAAGTTGTGCCTGCGAGCGTAATCTCTGTGAGCTGGGCCGCCGATCATCGAGTCGTGGACGGCGTCACTATGGCGAAATATTCGAATCTCTGGAAGTACTACGTTGAGAACCCTATGTTCCTGTTCATCGAGGCATGAACGCCTCGAAAAGGTACACCAAATATGCTTTTGTATCGGAAATTCTATTTTTATACTTTTTGTAAGTCCCTCGAGAAATATGTTGAAGGGGTTTATTAACGATTACATTGGCGGGGCTGGGACGAATGGTGCAGAATACAAAGAAAAGCTTGACAAGATTTTGTACGTAAATATTAATTTATTTATTGCTGCACAACCAACTAGGACTTTTTCATAAAGATAAAATATCTTATTTTTGCTTTTTTTGTTTGTTTGTTTGTTCTAACATATTCAAAGTGTTACAACTTGTATGGTAGTTATATATATGATGACCAGTCGAACTGTGAGCAGTTTTGTACATTAAACCTATTACACATTGTTCATACAAATTATCCTAGAAGAATGTATATACCAAAAAATATGTTAAGGAAGTGGTTGTACTGATTAATATCTTTTGTGCATTGATTGCTCTTCAGAGAGGGGAGGAGACACCTTTGTAGGTTTACGTAGGAGGATAATCTCAGCAAAAAGAAACAAAAAAAAGAAGAAAAAAAAATACCATTCAACAAAATCACAAATGAAAGAAAATGTTTATAATGAGTACGACCACTTATTCATTTATGTATGTACGTATGTATGTATATATATACAGTTTATAGTGTATCGCGTATTCAGTCATTCATATCCCATACAATCATTCCATTCCCTTAAATGCCACATAAATATTTACTCGAAAAGTAGTCAGTCTGTTTAGTAGTTAGAGTAG